GCAAACCACGTGGTGGTGATGGTGCAACGGTTCAGTCACTGTCACCGGCGTGCTTTGGACCCTATGTTCCGAGGTTCAAGCCCAACCACCACTCAACTTTGGTTGTAGGCAGCTTCCCAGTCCTCCGGTTTAATATCACGTTTAACCTAGCAGGTCCTTATGTGGTGCACGCCTCCAAGCCCCGGGGCTTAGGTTACCGGTTTCCATCGAGTAGATTTTCCAATGGTTATGATTATATGTATGGGCACTGTTTTCGCATGTAACATGGAACTCTAAATCCTCTAAACCAATATTATCTGCAGCAACCACAGAATAACGTTACTCCTCTGCGGATCTGAATCTCCCCCCTCCCGTGTGCTCTTCGAGTTACGTAGTCCCTAGAAGCTGCTCTTTGTAAAACATGAAAAAAGCATCACCAACAGTCTAGCAGAGTTGACTAAACTCTGATTTGAAACCAAACACACTTCGCATAAGCCCATGATGGCACCAATCCTCGGCGCGACCGAACCGATTTCTGAAGCTGATCTTTGCAACTGACCATCGTGACGCTCACTAGCAAGTGCGCGCCTCAAGGACAATCTGGGTACCGTGAGTAGTTGGCCACATCCAAAAGGTATACGAACTGGTCAGCTAATGACCGGCTCCCAGAGGATCGTGGACTCTGTACTCCACCCCACTGCTTTGTGGGTCAGGTTCTTTAACCAAAGGCTCCGGGTATGGCTCCTAGGAAAATCCTTCGACCTGGTAGTACGATGCCCGCAATTTAACCATGAAAACCTTGACCACGAGACCGGGTCGCATAGGTCTCGTTAGGCTCCCTGGATGGGGACCACGAGATCATGATCACCAGTGGTTAGAGACACTGAGCGATATGACTGCGTCACAAACAGTGGCACTCATGCATCTACTCATTATTCTTGCAACCTCAGTCTACTATAATTCTCCTCCATCTTCCCCTTAAATCTCAAAACTCCAATCTTCATTATGCTTTCTTATCCAAACGGGTAACCAAAACAGGCGCACGAAATTGCATAGGTAACGGTTGTAAGACCTGAAACTGAATTTAACCATAGACTTATTCATCGAAGAAGGTCTGAAAAATCTCATACATTTTTTTCTCAACATCTGCAACCGACACTTTCATCCACCCGCCACACAACACCCCCATTTTTTTCAATGTATGTTCTATATCAAATGGTTTCACTGATGCATGTTCATGTTGTAGCTTGCAACTATCCTCCTTGCAGTAATGCCTTGTTAGTCGGAGCCGATCGTTCTATTTCTCCGAGCTCACTCTGCGTTCAAAGTGATGATAATGCGTATAGAACAACAAGTAGGTTTAGCTCGTACGCTCGTAAGTCTAGAGATTGATGTGTTGCCTGTCGGAAACACGCATTCAAGATCTGAGCTTAGTGATCCGAAAAACGTCTCTTTCCGATCCAAAAGAATCGTTTCAACTGCGCGCTTCCGGGGACCTTATCACAACAGCCTTTAGTCAAGCAGGCGTTGGTATTGCCTTAAGCTCCAGGGTCGAGGCTGGTCTATTGGACTGGATCTCGATAAAGTCCACTATGCGCAGCGAGACTCCGAGGCTCAAATAAAGTCAAAAAGCGGAAACCAAACGAACGGCGGTTATTCGTTGTTTCTGCATACGCTTCTACAAACTCTAGCCCGGACACAGTCTAAGATGCCTTATATCACAACCTAAATGAGCTTCTTTTTAAAGCACTTAAGAAGGGTATCGTGATCATAGTCGAAGACCTAAACGCACGCGTTGGTCGTCTGTCACCCGATGCCAACCACTTGGGTAGCCATCATGGCCTTGATAGCTGTCGTTCAGACAATGGGGATATGCTCAGAACACGGTCTGTTCCTCGTTATCATGAATTTCAAACACCCAAAGCGTCGCCTCGCCACTTGGCATAATTCCTCTTCGGCACAGATGTGGACTCACATTTATCATAGAGCTATTAGCTACAGATGGAGAGGATGTGAAAGACTGCCTTTAGTACTGGTCTATCTGCTTGGACTAGGACTACGCACGGGTTTCTGTCAAGTGCCCTATGCGATTTGGTGGCCGCAAAAGTTAGATATGCAAACAGCATGACGTCGCCAAACTTTCTGACTCGGCCATGTAAGCTAAATACCGAAACGAGTTGGCCGCAAGACTAGCTACTACTCCTGCCAAAAAACGAAGATCAACAATGGACAACCGTTCAAAACGCAAAGCACTCAGTTTATACAGTCTAGTTTTAAAACACTGGGTCTCCTCGAAGTCTCACAGATATTTTGACGCGCGTCGGACAATTCCAGCAGACACTGAGTATAGTGAACATCGCCTCTCTCTGAAGCGTGAACTGACAGAGCTTGAGAGGCTACCGAGAAGCCTAGTGGAACCTACGTGAAAAGATGGAATCAAAAGCTAGGAGTGGAAGCAGTTCAGTTCAGTTTTTACAACCCTGCACTTTCGTGTGTCGGTTTTGCTTGCTGTCTTTTGGTGCCATCTTTGGATAAAAGAGCAGAAGGAAGATTGGAATGCTGAAAGCAAATTCAAGCGGAAGATGGAGAATTCATATCGAATAGTGATAAGGGAATAATGAGTGGATGCACGTACGCCACTGTTTACGACACCCAGCCATATCACTCAGTATCTCTAAATATTAGTGACCATCAGCCCGAGGTCCACAGTCAGGGAGCCTAACGGGGCCTATGTGAACTAGCCTCCTGGTTAGGGTTTTCATACCCTCATGCCAGGTCTCAGTTTGGCCACCCTTGATATTTGTCCATCCGCTACCAGCCTTGGCAACCTATCTGGTGACATGCGTAACACA